TGAATTAGTTTTCAAATGCATCAGCAGAGTGCGCTAAGTCAGTGTTGAAAAAAAAAAATGTTGAATTTGTATGAATTGAGTTAGCAACCTCATTAATGTATAAATAATGTGGTAAACAATAATAATTGGTTGAAAACTTTTTACGCTTATTTTAATCATCAAATTATTTCATTAACATTTTTTTTATTGAAATAATAGAAAACCTTTAAAGAATATAAGGTTTTAACAAGCTAAATTAACAGTAAAATATTTAGTTTCATGTAAGAAGTTTACATCATTTACGTTTTGAGTAATATTTTTTAATGATTTCTAAAAAAATTATATACTTTTTCAAAACCATTGCAATTTTTTCTAAAGTATAATCCTGTAAAATAAATTTGTTTACAGATCCGAATTTTAAAATAAAATTGTATTCATATTTTAAATGTGGAATATAAAAAAAGTAACTATTTATCATCCATACTAATAGCATAATAATATAATTTTTTAGCAGTTTGAAATAACTTTAATTATTTTCAAAATCTATGACGAAACGAAAGCCTTACAAATTTTTCAACAATAAATAATATTTACTAACGAAAATTTCGATAAATGCCAACTTAAAGAAAAATACTGGTCAATTTTCTGTCACTGTGTTGGTATTGTTTGCGAGAAGCTCGCGAGAGCATTCGTTTTGAGAGTGCTCAATTGTGCGAAGCGTTGCTGTAGTTGGAACACTCGACGTTGTGGTAGGGGAGCCCAAGAGGGGATTTCGGGATTTACTAAAGCGCGGCAGATTAATATATAGGGGGATACCTTGTACCCGGTTAAGTACCTCCACAAAATATGAGGCCCATATATAAGGCCGCCCGTGAAGGAGACAGGATCAGATTAGTAAAAAAAATTGACCATCAGAAATTCCCGAGCGCGTCAGATTAAGGTAGGGTGAGTTAATTACATCCTAAAAAGTGTATATTCCACTAATCTGACAATTTGAGAGTGACGGAAAAAAAGGGGAGGACAACAAAGTTGTAAAAAAAAAACGTCATCTCGACATTCTCGAGCGTAGCTAATTTTTATTTTATTTTGAAGGAAATAATTCAAGAATAATGAAAAATATATAATCTGACGATTTCCGCAAGCCGAAATAACAAAAATTCGTCGATAAAGTTAAATGCGTGCAGCTGCGTGATGCCTACATTTCCTTAAACCGATCGGAATCTACTAAACGGCGTTCTAAATATTTCCCTAAAAATTACATTTCCTGTGAATTTGAACCGATTCGGACCGATAGATTTTGAGAAATTTTGAAAAATCTTAAAAAAATAAGAAATTTTTTTTTTAAGTGGTTTCTTTATCGATCAACTTCAAAAACTAATCCGCCTTTGAGCTTGAAAAACCACGTCGATCGCCACCAAGCTGGTCAAAAGCGGTTGATTAGTTCGAGAGATATCGTGAACGAAAGAAACCCGTAAAAGTGTTTTTTCGGGATTACTCCGAAATTTGTGGTTCGATCAATTACAATTGCAAAATTACTTATGATGATGATAACACTGCGTCGAATGCCGCCAACCGCGTGACAATTGCTTGATCCATTCAAAAGTTATTGCGGTTTGAAAATTCCAAAAATAGTGTTCTATGAAACTTCTATCAGACTTTCGAGCTGGGAGAGCTCAAATGCATAGAAATATTATTTCTTTGAACTCAGCGAGCTCAAAATATCAATTTTAAGCGCCCAGGAATGGAATTAGCGGGAAGTTGCAGGGATGGCCCTTTATGTGAACCGTTTTTCTAAATTTTTTTTGTCAGATCAGGCGAATCCCTCTAGATAATCGTCAGATTATGAGACAGTACGTTTAGAACATAAAGATGAACCACATATATCTTAATCTGACGCGCTTGAGTATTTCAAAATTGCGATTTTTTTTTTGCAAATTATGAAAATGGCCGTGGGTTTGCGTCCCATCGAAATTGTCAGATTAGTGAATGAGAGCTTTTTTTGGTGCACTTAACACTCCCTTAGAAAATCTGACGCGCTCGATAATTTTTATTTTTTTTTTCATTTTCAACCCTTAAATACAACCACCCGCATCATGCAAACGATCAGATTAACATACGTACATTATTAAAAATACGTAGGGCATTGATGCTATCAATATCTGACGCGCTCGAGGATGTCCATGCAACAGTTTTTTTTTACATATTTAACAATCTATAGCCGCTTCCCCCACCGATGAAAAGGTATATATCATATAACATTTTTTTCTTCTTATTATCTAAGCTTTGCATCCCAATAGGTCTCTACGACGCTCGAGTAAATCCCCATTTAGCATCGTGGGTTCCCCTACCATTGAGCATTGTGCCGCAAAATGCGTTCTAGTGCTGTAATTGGAAAACGCACAAATTTAAAAATATACTTTTATCTGGTTCTGTGGTTTGGTTTGTCCTGTCAGCTGTGGTTACAACCGACACTAGGTAAGTAATCTGTGCATTATACAGTAATTTTGCTTGACCATATTTCGAAATAGCATTGTTGTACTATATGAAAATAATCTAAAAATTTATATTTGTTAGTCTTGCATTTAAAGCGCTGATTACTATTACTGTTTTTACTAACCTAAATTGTATATTCATAAAATATTTTTATAACAATCACGACCTCTTTCGTATAGTAAACAAGAAGCAAAAAAGGCTCATACGGTGGAATCAACACACATACCTTCTAATATTAAAAAGATGAAACCTACAGTAGCTGCTGACGAAATGTTTCCTGAAGGAGTTGGACCATATATGGACATGGAAGAGGTATATATACTAAAATCTTCTATTACTATATTTAGTAATTTATTGAGGAAGCACTTTACATGTAATCTTGAGTTCAAATCTTTTAGGGATAGTTACGTCTAGGTCTCCCTATAAAATTATGCAAAAATGAATTGTATTCAAGATCTATGTTACAAAAATATTTACAAATAAAATAGGTAGAGAACCATTGATTAAGCTGTGCATGGTGATTTCATATTATAATGGAAGATAAAAAAAATATTTTGCTATTTACGTAGAGACAAACAAGCTTGTTAAATAATTGATAAACTTGAGTATTAACTGTTATATTACAGAAAAGAAGGAAGCATTCTAGAGAAAGGACAGTTTTGATTTTTGATATTAAAATGTTATATTGGAAGTGCAGTTAATTAAGTCTATCAGCGCATTAAGATTTATCTCAATTTTAAATTCAGAAATAAATGAAATGTGAACTAATTCTCTTATCTATCAAATCAACTGCATATACATTATTAGTATTGATTTGATAGGTTTAACTATATTATGATACTTTTTCTGAAAATAAGTGTATATCTAAATAAAATATTACCCATGTTTAATTACAGGCTGGTGGACCTTCCAATTTATTAATGGATTTAGCAGCAAATGAGAAAGCTGTGCATGGAGATTTTTTTAATGGTAAAATTTTAGTATTCATTTTAAAGTAATTAGTAGTTACTGAAAATATTCTAAAGCCTTTTTTTCTTACAGATTTTGAAGATTTGTTTGATGATGATGACTTACTATAAAAACATGTAATGAATACTAAAATTGATGTTTAGGAATTGTTTATGTATTTCTTTACGGATAATAATTTAATGGAAGTGGTAAATAAATTACTTTTAGAAGATAGTTATTGTAAATATATTGTGAAAATATCACCAATATTTTCACAATTTTGTAATTCTTGTTCATCATAATTTACTGCTAACTGATAAAGAAATAAATTTCGTCTGACAATAGTCATATCAAAAGCATAGTTTTTTATATTAAAAATTGCATTGTAGTATAAAAATAATAGAATTATAAATTTTTGTAAGTAAATATAATAATTTAATTTTTTTTTTGTTGTGTCATCTTTCATTTGTAATTTTTATTATTGAATAAAAAGTATCAATGGTGAAAAAATAATTTTATAAGAGAATTCTAACAGAGGCCAGGTATTCTCTATAAATCAAAGATTTACTTACTTTGCGATAAGCTCCTACAACACACACAACTTAGTTTCCATAAAAATCTGCTGGTGACAGGCACATAATAATTATTGTTATAAAAAAGATTATTATAAGTTGTACTATTTTGAGCGCAAAGGTCTTCCTTGGTATATTTAGTATACTTGTACAAAAAACAAATAATTAGAAGGTAAAGTGCTATAGCTTCGTATAGTGCTATAGCCTCGTATAGGTATTGCTAATACAGAATAAAATATATTGGCCTAAAATATTTGCAAGCAAGAGCACTTACGTTATTGGTAACAAGCTCCTACATCACGCTTAAAGCTAAACTTCCATAAAAAATTGCTATAGACGGAGACTATTCTAAACATAATTTTTCATGATTATTGGAGATGGAGTTAATCTATAAGTGGACTATTTTGACTTCATAGGTCATCTATAATTAGTATACATATACACTATACCGCTGTACACATCGGACGTGATGATCATCTAAGTGCAGGAACTGAGTCAACCAACCATAACATTATACCACATTTTACTTACTTTTTTATTAGAAACAAAAGTGTTACCGACATTATAGTCTTTTAAAAAAGATAGTTTCAAGTAAGCTTTCTTCGCAAAGGAGTATGTATGTAACTATTTATCAAAAATCATCAATAGTTTGGTTTAACATTACTAGAAAATTTATAAATATGAACAGATATCTGTATACCTTTTAAACAAAAACATTTTTAGTGTAGTTATTAATATGTTCCCAATCACATGATAAATTATACTACAGTTAACATAGCTTATGTTTTTAATTTCTGTACAGTTTACAGATTGTAGACAAGGTCTTAAAACAAGATATTGTTGATGTTTACACAAATTTGAACAGGTTTTTATCTCATTTATGTTTTTAAAATACATATACACTGTACTTGGTAATCTCTCTTAGAGTTTTGTTGGCATAAGGGTAATTCATTGTGTAGTCACAAGACACTAGAGACATACAAAACTGAAATTGTGTAAATTCATATATTAAACGTCAACATCACTGCTATCTTCACTATATTCATTGGCTTCTGTTTCCTGTTCATCATCATCACCTTCTCCTAATGTCTCATCTTCAACTCCCTCTTCTAAATACTCATCATCAAGTACATCACTCAGGTTATTGCTGAGACCACGAGCCATTTCTGAAATGTGAATTGAAGGTAATTGTAGTTTATCAGCTACTAATGTTTGAAAATGCTCCACTAGAAATATATCACATTATAGCATTAAAAAATAATATTTTTAGAGAACATAAACAATACTTTTGGGAGCAAGCGTGGCATTTATTAGTTGTTTTACTATGATAAAGGTGTGCGTTCATAAAAAGTCTCTTTAACTTGGGAAAATCAAATACTAATAGAAACTATAATATAAACTCAAATGATGTAGTTATTTTAGAGCATCCAGATATTAGATGACCCATATTTTAAACAAGTGTGTTTTACAAAAATTTTTTTCATATACATAGAGAATCTACAATCAACTTATAGAGGAATATCTGTCTATTAACTGTCAATTAGTGTGTAATACATTTGATAGTACAGTGGAATCTCTATAATTGGAATGTTAAGGGAAATGCAATCAACTTAGCGAGATCTTCGAGATACATATGATTCAACTGTTGAAATTTCGACTTACAGAGGGTCAATTTCAATGTGTATTTTTAGATTTGTAGAGTCGATTTTGAATAAGTTTTGTAGTATATATTTTTAACATATTAAAACGAATTACATATTTACTAATTAAACTGTATACTAAAAAAAATGTATGAATGTATTCATTCATTGTATGTATGCAAATCAAAAACAATAGATTAGAAGCCCTGAACTTTGGATTTTATTACTATTATTTCGGGTAATTCCAAGTAAGACGTCATTATATTTTACTAACTACGACTCACGAGTCTCCGTTTTGAAATTCGAGTTAGAGTATTGATATGTACTATCAATACTTCGTAGGGAAATAACATTGTCTTCGAGATACAAAGTCTAAATAATTCGAGATTCGGTTCAGCGGAAGGGAATCGCAATTTTTTCGACTTACTGAGGATTTCTACTTAACGAGGTTCGAGTTATAGAGATTCCACGGTAATAGGTATTGTTACTATTGAATTAGTAGCAGAGTTGCATGCAGGTCCATTTTTTTGGCAGCAGATATAATTAAAATACTAGCATTTTGTATATAACATAGCTTTACTTACGTTCAACATAACATTCTAATGACTTTGGTACCATACTTTTTGCTTTATCGAGATTTTCTTCTGAGCATTCACCTTTATCTAAACCTAAAAAAAAACCATGTACCTTTACAATCATGAATATTTAATTTTTAATAATAATAATTTATTTATTGCAAGAATATGGTACAAAATGTTAAGGTGATATTGTTTTACCTAAATAAGCTCTAACACTCGAATATTCTTTGAAGTTTTATGCTAAACCGCATCGGATAACCGCATCCGCCATATATATAAAATAATTAAAATGAAACTGTTAATATTGTGCCACCATAGAGTGAATCATCAGGTAAATAATCAAAGGATAAAAATTGAGAGTTGATTGTTGCGAGACATGAAGGTTGTGTTGATGAGCGTGAAAACCTTTAAGCCCTTAACTTATTATTGCATGTAGTCTACAGCTAGGGTCTAATTTATCTAATTATTTTAATCAATCTCATTTTAAATGAACTTATTCGAACTTACTATTTGTTAAGTAATAATACACAGAAATGTCTGCAAGTTATAGCTAAAGCACTGGTCTAGTACAAACTTATAGTCAAATCTTACCAAATAATAAATCCATTCTTTTCAATATATCTATATCATCGTGAATCTGGAACCTTTTGTTAAATTTAAACAAATATTCTGTCCTGAAAAGTACAATGTATCAAATTAAAAAAGATAAAATAGTGTCACATTAGGCAATCATTTTTCAAAGAAGTTTTGTGCACATTAGGCGTCATATTTAAACAATACTTAAAATTAAAAAGAAATACATATTGATTATATGACAACTTAATTCACATTACTTATGAATAACAGACTGTTTAATATTTATAATCTAAAAAATAAAAATAAAACAGGATCTTACTTATCATTAGAGATACTACAGTCAATAAGTGCCTTATCACTTGTATTTACAACAATAAAAGGCAGATGTATAGCTGATGAAGGAGATGGTATAACACCTTTATTTTCTGCTTCCTTATTCCTTTCTATTAAAGATTTGAATGATATATGCTGTAATAAAAAATCATATTAGCTTAAATAATAAATCTTTTTCTATCTATACGTATATGTTTTTGCCAGAAACTTGAAAAATGGCCAGATAAGCACAAATACCTAGGTAACACTGAAAATGTTTAGAAAATGAAAAATGGCTTAATGTTTTCTACGTTGCCAATACTTTTATTGTTTTTCGAAGTAATCACCGTTCGTTCCGTCGTATTCGATGGAACCACTGAAAAAAGCAGTAGGCCCATTCTTCCTTATTATCTTCTATGGCATTTTCGTACGCTTTTATCTTCAGGGCTCGTAAAGCGAATACCTCTAATTTTATTTTTAGTTCTTGGGAATAAATGAACGTCGCAGGGCGCCAGGTCAGGACTGTATGGCGGATGACTGATTATCTCGACACCGGCCATAGTCAAATATTCAACAGTTCGTTTTGCGGAGAGCGCTGAAGCATTGTCGTGGTAAAGGCGGATCCTGCTTCGAGGGCGCTGCTGTCGATGTTTTTCCAAGACAACAGGCAAACAGCGATTGACATACCAGTCTGCAGTAAATGTCCTTCCATCTTCGCACAACTATCGCGAAATGACCTTTCCGACTAAACAATGAGGCAATCATCTTTTTTCCTTGACTTCTTCCTTTCTTGACCTTAGTTGGCCGATCCTCGAAGGGAAACACTCACTGAGCTGATTGTCTTTTGGTTTCGGGTTCGTAGCAATATATCCAGCTTTCATCACCTGTGACGATGTCAAATACAGCATTTGAGTCACCGCCGTTGAACTTATCTAACATTTGGCGACACCAGTCCATGCGAAGGTGTATGGTCGTCGGTAAAAGTATAGGGAACCCATCTGGTACAAAGCTTCCTGACGCTTAAATGTTCGTGTAATATTTTTTGAAATTGACTCATACCAATGCCTAAGCTTGCCCGTATCTGCTGATAGGTCCCGTATCTGCTCTCTTATCTTCCTCTATCATGCGTCGCACAGCAGTGATGTATAAGGTAAGTATGTGTGTTCATAAGTCGCTGTTAAAGGACGTCCCTCACGCGGATCATCATTGAGATTGCTACGTCCACGCTTAAACTCGTTAAAGCAATTGGAAAAGAAAAGTGGCACGAGATGGGGCTTCCTTAAGAAATGCTAATCGCAGCCTATCATAGCTTTTTTGTTGAGTACAACAAAAGTCATAATAAATCATTGACCGAAAATTTTCTGGCGTTAGGTTAATTTTCACGTATAACAAGAGTTTTAGATTTGCCGCCAATTCGTAAAAACAACCAAAGCGTTCTAAAATTGAAATTCAAAAAAGTTTTGCATCAAAGCAATCTAACTGGCCAGTTCTAAACATTTTCAGTGTTACCCACGTATAATTCTTCTTATATCTAGAATATGATGATAGTTTTATATTTTATCGTTATTTAGCCAGCAAATATTATTCTTCTCAACAATATGATTCAAAATTATCAAGCAGTGGAATGTCACATATTTATTTTCTTTTTCATAACCTAGCATAAAGCATTTTTTAAATATAACATATATTTATAGCTACTAACTAACCTGTAAAATCATTTCTTGTAACTGCTGTGTTTTCTTGCTAATTTGTTCCAATTTGGCTTGTTTCTCTTTTTCAAGGGTGGTACATTCCTGCAGTGAATTAGTGGGTAGACCTAACCACCTAATTTCTTTTTTGTCTTTTGATATTATGTTCATGGCCATTAATACGTTTAAGGCGTCATAAACACGCCGCCGAATATTCTTTTGGTCATATTGCTGCAAAGTAAATTTTCTCTGAATTACATTTTAACACAACAATTTTTATACCATCTTAAGAAAATGTAATCTTCTTGTAATAAAATCTAATCTTGTTATATCAAGTTATTAATTTGGTAATTAGTGATATTTTGTAATTTCAACTTAAATATCTGCTAAGTTATAGCTTTACTGACTTCCAACATCTGACTGCTAGGTTTTTACTTATTATATTTATGTATGATGATGAAAAATATGAGTTGGAAAAGGTTCACAATCACAACAATCAAAATCTTTTTAAAGGAAATCGAAGAGCAGCGTCAAAGGACTAACCCTCCCCTAACCACTTAGAAGAAGAGTGGTTCATATCAAAACAGATTATATAAAATGAAAATGTTATCATCAACCTAGAACGAATGCAACAAGGAACCCTTGCCCTATAACAGAAGAGGAAGACATCATAAAATGGTGACAAGAACACTTTAAAAATCTCCTAAATATAAGCCATGATGAGGCTTAACACCATACTACGAAGTTTAATAACAACTAGAACTTTGCACGAGCCACAAACCGCTAATATAACTGTAAGCTCTAGAATAAGGTACCTAGAATACACACTGTCACTACTGATCTTCTAAGGTGAAGCTAAAGTCCAAAGACTGTTGGACTGGTCTCCTTGAGAGTATGGGCGAAGGCAGCTATCGCTGGAATGACGCAGTGGGGGACCTACGCGACCAACAGCTCCATTGGTGGAGCGCGAAAGGCAAAGGTGGCGTTCTAAAGTTTCTGAGGTCAAGGCTCACATTGAATCGCTTGCGAAAGCGGTAGCGGTAGCAGTAAGTACTACTAAACTTCTAAAAAATTTTTAGATCCGCTCTTGAAGAGAATGCATCGTGTTGTTAGAGTTTTCTAGAATATGGAAAAAAAGCCTGAAGAACGGAACATGGATATTATGGTACCTATCCAAGAAGGGTGACAAAGAGAGTGGTCTAACTACAGAAGGATATCTCTTCTTTCTGCAGCATAAAAAGGTTTCTCTGGAGTAGTGTACAGGCAACTTTGTAGTTATGCTGAGGAGATACTAATTCCGATTCCGACATAATATATCAACTGATTGATCAAATACATCTGATGCGTCAGACATTGAAAATATAAACCTGTATCACCTCTTCATAGACTTTAGACAGGAAAGCTAAAGCCAAAGCACCAAACCATGATGTAAATTGGTGTCCCCCAAGAAAATTACTAAACCTGGTGGCAGCAACGCTTTTACACTCTGAATCAGTGGTGGCTAAATACAATATCAGATTTTAAGCCCTTTGACATATGCTCGGGTGTCAAAAAGTAGTCTTTAATCGTGTTATTGAAGATCTATCTATACTATCCGCAAACACAATAGATGTCGTAACTACCAGCAGATCCCAAACTAGCATGATAGTCGAAGTAAGTCTCGAAGCCGACCCTTTTGTTACGGACTGCATACGAACGCGAAAAACGAAACATCTAATGAGTTTTTGCGGCGACTCGAGCCAAGACGTACAAGTAAGAAATACTGGCAATAATATCTTTGAAGATGTTTAGAGTTTTAGAAATTTGGGTTCACTGCTTACAATTTGGAACATGATGGAAGACGAGATCAAGGCGAGAATAATTTCCGGAAACAAAGGCTTCTAGGCGTGTAATAGAGTTGGTTTGGGTTCCAACACTGCTTAGCGTTGCGTGACAAGTAACAATTTACCGCACTGTCGTCAGGCCCGTAGTTACTTATGCCTGTGCGACGTGGATTATTACACCCGGAGACTGGTTGTATTTGAAAGAAAAGTTCTGATATGGGTGTTTGGGACCATCAAGGATTGGAAATATCGATACTTGATAAACCATGAAATAGATGAACAAATAAACCATGAAAATATATTCAGATTCTGCAAAACTCAGAGAGTGGGATGGGTAGGTCACCTGAATCGAATGCCGGAAGCTACGGCTCCAGAATCTATGACCCAGTGACGCAACAGCAAAGCCAAGAGGCAGACTCAGGAAACTCTTAAACGATGGGAAGTTTTTCGAACTACAAAACACTCGCCAATGATCGAGGACCAATGGAGAATTATGGTGATGTGACCCATTGTAGAGCCACTGGATGAATGATGAATAAATGAATTTTTCCTTATCCCATTATACCTAGATGCCGACGCGTAACTTTATATTACGCGTATTTTATTTTGAGCTACTATCTCAAACACAAGGTGAGAACGAAACACGGAGACGACGTGCAATAACCAGATCCGCAGTTGAGCGTTTGGTTAGGTTGGAAAGACGAAAAAGACCAAGGTATGCTTAATATACAGTCTTGTCTCTCCTATTTGTCTATATGGCGCGGAAACTTGGTCGCTAAAATTTGGAGACTGGCGAAAAGATAATGCGCTGGAAATGTGGTCGACGACTCCTAAAAATACGGCATTACGGACCAACAATTCCATCCTCAAAGAACTTGTACGGATATAGAAAATCTTTGGGCATATCTTAAGGAGAGGAAACGTGCGCGTGGCCGATCTCCAACGCGTTGAACAGATTTGAACTAGACCCACTCTGCAACAGTGCTGTCGAGATGTGGAGGATAGATCTATAGTGCTGCATGCAGCGGTTCCGGGACGAACGATGTATACCAGAAAACGACCACGACCACTATTAAAAGCGTGCACCATTAAGAAGTATTTCATTTAGATCTTTTACAGTACAGTAAGCGAACTTCTTTTGACTCGCCGATATTTAAATATAAAAATGTATATTATCGAATATTTAATGCATACTTGGCTATCTGAGGACCCATGTATTCCCGTAGCAAATTCAAGAACCAGCTCATCTGCCACTTCGTTGTATGAAGTAAATCCCTTATTCCTAACTTTTTCACAAACTTTCATTGAAAAATGCCTCAAACCCTTTCCGACTTTGTCAGCATGCTTGCGCCTTTTTGTTGTGCTGGAAAAATTAAGATATGGATATACAACATAGACTATGTCCATTATTCTTAAATAGTCCTATTTCTATGTCTATCTATAACATCTCGTAAACGTTTGAATAAAACGTTGCGGAAATAAAACTTGCTGACCAAAGTTAAATTATTATTTGCTCATTATAAATAAACGCCCAAATTTTAGTAAATGTTTTCTCATAATTATTTATTTTATTTTAAGTAAGCACTTTGCTTAAGGGTAAAATAAAAGTTGAGGCATAATATGACTTTCAAATGTCAAAATTTTCTTCCATACTTAAGTCGTAGTTCCCGCTAAGTCTCGGACGCTGAATCACACCCTATGGGACACGAGACAGATAAGGATAATATATTCAATTTTCAGAATATTTATAGTAAGTTTGATAGTGGTACTTTTTTCAATTTCAAGGAGAATAAATGTGTTTTTAATAACCTAAAGCTTTTTAGGTAGCATTAGAGGAAACAGGCAACGCATTATAAATTGTAACCAGGGGCCTTATCACAAACTAGTTGTGCTTCGCGGATGATCTGCGTCGGTTCGGTTGTAGGGTGATGCTGTATAAACTAAAACCTTTAAAAATGGAGAATCCCACACAAAAATTAGTTTTCAATTAGAGCCAGTAGTTCCCAATATTAGCGTGTTCAACCAATCACACGTCAAGCGTGATAATACTGTTTGTATCTGTTCTCGGCTCTGTAGCTTCTGTAAGTAAGTAATAGACCGTTTCAGGTAAGTTTAAGTGTTTTTTACTTAAACTTTACTTTTCCTTGATTCGATTCCAGTAACTTTTTTGTTTAGTTAAGCTATTATAAAAAATACATTAAAAATGTATTTCTACGGTTTTGTTGATATGGAAAACTTTTAAAATATTCAACTACCTCTGCAAGAAACTCGGCTGTTTTAAATTATTTAAATGACAAAATACACTATAATATTTATAATCCCACCAAAAGAGCCCTTTCTTCGCTGATTTTTTTTGTTAAAACAAAGTAGTGTTTTATACATATTACGTAATTATCTACTTACTATTCAGCAGGAGGATCGTTATCGGAGTCGTGCCTCCTACGTGATGCATGAGACATGTTGACAGTGAGCCTTTTTACCCTTTTACTTGCCAGATTTTGATTAAATTCAGTGGGCTCAAAGATTATTGAATCTTTCCAATCCTGAAATACGAAAAACGTTCAATTTAAGTAATGTTCAATGTGAAAAGATATAATATCAAGGGAACGTTAAAACAGAATAAGACTTAATAAAGAGGTTATTAAACTTGGATGCGATTAGATTTTATTTTTATGGGTCTATCTAGCACTCGGGTCACTTTGAATAAAGTGATAACTGCGCCCATGGACACCTGCAACGCCGCGGGCTAGCGGATGTATTGCCGACCTTTCAGGGAACGGTACGCTCTTTTCTTCAAGGCCCCTAAGTCGGTTCGGAAATACCTCTATGGCAGCTGGTTCCACAAAGAGATGGTGCGCGGCATAAAAAAAGGATGAATGCGGTAGAAGATGCTGAGGGAACCAACATCTCTACGAATACCCAAATGATCAAGCCAATCGGAAAGAGCAGGGTCATCTACGATTCGAGCCGCATTGTGATGGATGTGAACAAATGTAATGAGCTGGGGAGTTCCCGCCTAGAGGTTAGAACAGTACTCCACGTGTGGCCGAATTTGCGCTTTATACAATGGCTCTTATGAAGGACATAGAGGCCGAGTTGTAGGCATTTTTAAGTTCGCTTATTTTTACATCACGTGCTGCCGTTTTGCAGGAGCGAATCCAGTCACCGTGCAAAACGCTAGTACAGTAGAATAAAACCCTTGCAACACTTCAGCGCCGGTTTTCTGTAAGACAGGGTTATTTCCCCGGTCATGACTGCTCATTCAGCTGAGGCCCAAAGGCCTCATATAGCATGGCATTATAGTTCTTACCTAATTTAACGAAACGCGCAACCGTACCAGCCTTCGTTCTACATTGTATTGCCCCCACCCGCTCCGTTACTCGTACCTCCGGATAGGCATTGATACCTTCGACCAGTGATGCCAACTTTGAAGATGAATCAATAGGTATGTGCTATGGAGTGTACTTTACAGGAGGGTACTTTATACAAAAGCACGATTCAATACAATTTATATTAAGCCTAGAACCGAACCCAACCAACAAACTAATCCAAACACGCGTGGATATAACTGAAATATCAAAAAGCTATAATACGCCAAGGTCGACATTTTATACTACTTGGATGTATTTTGTGTTGCTTATTTGAAATGACCTCTCAAACCGAGTGTACAACAAAAAGGGGTTTTTAATTGATGTTGGGGTATTTGAAGTTGGTTTTAGGGGGATCATTCTGTAGGAGTTGCTATGCACTGCCTGCGACTTCAATGTTGAATTTTTGGAACGCGCGATCCGAAGGACCTAAGCACGTCGGATATTGATAGCTAAATTGAAATTACATACAATAATTCGCTTTCGAAAGTTACAGAAAACCTTTTAACAACACAATTTAGCAGACAGTACTATAATTTAAACAGTACAAGGTTAATTTAGTTGTTATGAATGAAATGTGTTTTCTTTAAAAAAAACATCTGAATAAGCTACGCAATGACATTACAAATTATATTTAAAAAATTGTTACATGTCATTACATATTTATTATACCGAGTTAGCTTTGTTTTTCAGTGTCTAAATTATACTGTTAGTTGTCATAGACAGCACAAATATCTTTGGCGCCAAAATGTATATTGCGTTACAATGACGTCATCTTCGAAAATAGATTTCGTTCCATTCTTAAGTTAGAAATTTTATTTGATTTAAAAAAATAACTTATTGGAAGAAACCCATGCAGACTGTTGTTCGCAAATGTAATTTAAACTTCAAGCTGGGTTTTTAGTATTTTTCACTTATGTACCATATTAGTTAGTTGAAACTACTAAAAGTTAAACAAATATAAATCTTAAAATAAATAATTAAAAATAAGTTAAACATCATTTATAGAAGGATATCCATCTCTTTGTCTTGGTGGTTAACGCACCTGGCGAGAAACCGAAGATCGAAGGTTAGATTCTTGGCAAACCCCATAATTTTAGGTAGTTAGTATAAGTAGTAAATCGAAAACAACGAATTCGCAGATGTATGGGAATGCGTGATACATACTTAAATAAGTGAGGCAGAAAGTCAAAGAAAAAAATTCAAAACAATAAAACTTATTATAAGTATATTGACTTATGTCCCTATATACATACCATTTAGGTAGTGTGTATATGTACAAATTATATTTCATACATGTCTGTTGATTCTTTAGATGTAACCAAAAAACCTAAATATTTCAGTTCTAGTGAGACTTATATCAACCATAGTTAAAGTAGAAAGCACAGACTAGTCACTTACTTACAAAAACCATAATTTTATAGCCAAATTTCAACAAAGTGATGTGTTCATGTGAGTTATGAATATTATCAATCAAATACAAGTTCTACTCACAGTAACAGTTTCTTCTGTTGGCTCTAACTTTATGTTAACTTCTTTCAGGGGCAATGTATTTTCTAAAAACAACAATTAATAGCATTTCAGATTATTCCTCACAGAAAATCAGGGCTGAGAAATGTGTTGTAGGATGATAATAGTTTTAAAGTATTCTAATAATCTTTAGACATTAAATCAAAATAAATACTGTGGGTCACATTCTTTATTTCAGAAACATTCTTTATCAGCAATACAGTACATACTATAATTCAATGTATATTTGAAAAACATAGTTAATGTTAATGAACACAGAATCTCGAGCCTTAATAAATTGAATAATTAAACCATGAAACTGACACCTGGCATAAATATCTTAGGTGAACTTACTTGAAGATAATAATTGTGGATCAGTTGAAATAACCTGTGCTACTTGACTCTGCAAAAAAAAAAACAACAATACACAAATTAATAAATGACACTGTGACTGTATTTTTTTCATTAATCGGTAAATAATAATTGTAAGCAGGTAAACATCACTTGTACTTAGTAATAATTTCATATCACTATATTTGCTAAAATATGGAAAACTTAAATGAATTTAAATAATGCTTTTTTTAAAATACTGTTGTTAATTATTGTCTATTTTTAAAGTGTTAATATGTAGTTATTTAAACTACATTATAACCAATTCATATATGATAAACTTGCCTGTATACTCTCTTGTATTTGTGGGGCTTTAAAAACTTTCACAGGGGTATTTTTGAGTTTTAACTGAGCAAGTGGAATGTTAGAACTTGGCACTACCTTTACGATTTGACGTTTTCCTAAAAGTTACAGAGCTAAAGTTAAAAGTAAAATATTTTTTGTATATTATAAATGCTGATGAATAATTAAAAAAAGTTTTCCGAGCTCAATATTTCGAATGGAGTAGATATTACTGAATTGTAAACATAATTAAATGATTTAAAAGAATTGGCGGCACAATGTAGGGTATGGTTGCGACTTCAATTAATACTTACCATTAGAGTCTTTAATAACGACATTAACTACACTACTATTTTGTGACATTCTTGTTTAAGGCAAGACATTTGAAATCGCACGTAACAATTCCTAAATAATAATTAGGGCAGAAAAGCTTTACAAAAAATTAACTTGCGTGGTCAAAATGGCGACATAAGATATATATCGAAGGTCAGAGTAAGCAAAAGCCAATGTTCTTGGAATAAAAAAAATACACTTAGCCCATTAACATAATTCACTAATTAATGCAATGTGAGAATATAGCTTAAAACAAATCGCTAAAAACATTTGCTACTAGAAACACTTGGAACATAAATTATGACGACTTAACAGGTACCTATCAAGAATACAACTTGGTTGGCGCGCCGGCTGTTGAAATTTACCAGCTGATTGGATGACGCTGACCACAAAGTACAGATATTATTATATGCTACAGATATAGAGCATTTGTTTACATATTTTTAAAAAACCACGCACCTTAATAAACACGAAGCTTTGTAAAGTTTTTAATATTACAATAAAATTATCTTATATAAAGTTCAATTTTTTTCAGTTTAATTTGTAAATTTTTTTGAGTAATTGAGTTTTTTTTTAGTTTGCTGATCATGAATGAGTATATTTTTAACAGTGCATACAGTTCTTTTTACATTGTGGTTTGAATTATAAAGGTGTAATGTTAGCACAATAATAGTAGCCAAATAATCTCTAGATATAACTAGGAGGTTAAGGAAAATTTATTAATAATAAGCTATTAACTAAGCTGTATATTTTTTTGCAAATAATTATTTACCTTAATATGGTTTTTTTAATGTCTTCATACATATTATACATACGACTATATACCTATAATTTAACTCCAAATGTTTGATATCCATGCAGTTTAATTTTACATGTGTTGTAAATATTTTAATGTTATTTAATACATATATAAAAATCCACTTAATATTAAGATAAACTGTGGTATGTTGTATTCTCACAACGGACATGGTAATCTGTGTAGTGTCAGTTCGCGACGTTGCCATGCCAACTGGCAACCGCTTTGTTCTGTGATGTTGTTTTTCTATTTCAATTTTCAACCACACTTCAAGTATTTCAACTTTCAAAACATTTTGCGATGGACAAGTTTTTTAGGCTACATTTATGAATTACTTTAGAGCTAAGAGTGAAACAGATTGTTTTAATTACTTTAGTGCTGCTATTATCAACAATGTTATTAACATCACTTATTATCCTTCTATTCTGGAATCACAATGCATCTTCCTTTAATTTAGAAGATATAAATTTGCCGTTGGAACATATCCCATATTTCTTTAATTCATTTCCTACTTATGCTGAATCTTGTTCGAAAGACGTTAACTGCCCATATACGTCATTACTTACTAAAGAGGCTTGCTGGGGCTATGATACAAGCAATTGTAGAAAAAATAATTCTTATCATGTGCGCCCTCGTTGCCCTGGAGATCACAAAGGTTGGGTTAAAACGAAAGAAGCTCAGTATGAAACATTTTATACACAGGCAGACTTTGGTGAGATATATTAATACCCTGAATTACAATGGTATCATTTATGTATAATTAATTTAGAAGAATTATTAATTAAGAAGTACTAGTAGCTCTTTACTTTCGCACGCCATGTGAGGGTGTGTAATACTTATTAAAAAATACTTTTTACCATACAGGTTATATAAAAGAACAAATTGATGAGCTTATGGTAATGTGTGAAGCTTCTGTACCTGATGATAGTTCTCTTGAATGCTCAAAATATTTGAGGTAAGAAATATTTGTTTTTGTGTAGCTTTATAATATACACAATCTTATCTTCATTCATAATTTTCTTTCTCTGATAAAATATTGCAAGTTAAGTTATGTATTGATGCAGATTTGTTTCTCTGATTGTAATCACACAGTGCTAAAGCAATATATACACAATACTACTTATAGCACAGATGTAGTATATATACTTTATTATTGGATAAATGTTTCTGTAATTTTTTAGGTTCTGTAGAGGGAGAAATCTTATGCTTAATTTTACTGGGCTCATTGGTCGTGGAGATAATTTAAGATACAAGATGGATATCTTGGGTCCTAGACAAATTGGTAAGTACTTAGTCTAATATGCATATTTTTTGGTTTCACGTTTTTGTAATGCTGCAAATTCATAGATATACTTTGCTTTAAACACCATTATTACAGAAGAAAACCTTAACATAAGATTTTATTTTTTTAGGAGGTCATTGCAATTTTTACGCAGACAGGTTAATGAAGGAAGCTGAACACATGAGTGCTCTGCAGTCTTGGGGTCCTGAATTTGTTAATTTTGTGAAAACTCCAGAGAGACCAATTCCTGACGGGAAGTGTGATATTGTTATAGAAAAACCAACTTATATAATGAAGTTGGATGCAAGTGAGTTTCCCAACACTACAAATATTTTTAATTGGGGTTATTATAATGTACATAAAAAATATTTTTATAAAAAAACTTACCAAATATTCAAATAACAAACATTTGCCCTTTATGCGATGTATAAAGTTAGAAGGAACACGCCAAAAAATTATTGATGTAGCACATAATTTTATATGTATTATAAAGCATGTTGTGTTTTTATGGTTGGATTGATTAAGTGCTGAAATAATTAGATACACAAAAAACTTACATACTGATACATTTGTGAGATGTTTTTGAGTTACTCCAATAATGGATAATATTATTGGAGTAACTCAAATTAGTTGCCTGGGTAAATTAATAAAAATAACTTAAGTAAAAGCGAAAATAGTGACGATGAAGTAAAAGTTGTAACAATTGTATTTTATTAAAGTTAATTCTCTAGATGCAGAGATCTTATGACAAACAATTGTAAACACACAAAACAAAAATTATAGATAAATATTGACTATTTAAACTTACTGTATTTAGAAATATAAAAAAAAGGGTGTGTGTACTTATGTACGCGCGTAAGAAGTTATACTTCTTTGGCATTATTAAAAATAGTTTTGATTGCATGCAAATAATTAATTACAATTAAATAATGAAAGATTGGAAAAGGAGTCTTTATAGTCAATAAAGTTCAGTTTACATTTGAAAAATTAAAAAAATAAATATTTATTATTATTCTCTTACATTAAGTGTAACATAAATTATTCTATTATTATTCGAATGTTGTTTTTAAGTTATGTCCAATGCCGTAGCATCTTCCGTGGGCAACTTCATTCTGTTAATTTTGTGTCACGGTGCGCGCGCATCGTAAAATTTCACTCTCATCAATTTTTCATAACGCGCCTAAAGAAGTATAACTTCAAAAATTACATTATGCATCAGACTAAAACTTTTCATAATAATAATGATACTAAACATATAATTTTTTTTTTCAGCTGTGAACATGTATCATCACTTTTGTGATTTCTTTAATCTGTATGCATCCCTGCATGTCAACTCGACCCACCCATCAACATTTTCTAGAGATAATAACATTCTCATTTGGGAAACATTTACATATACATCAGCATTTAAAGATACATTCAAAGCATTCACAATGAATCCAATATGGGATTTGAAAAGATTCCGAGGCAAAGTTGCATGTTTTAAGAATGTTGTGTTTCCATTATTACCTCGCATGATTTTTGGACTGTATTATAATACGCCTGTGGTAAGTTGTATTTCTAATTTATGTTACACGTGACATGTTTAAATATATGTTTTAAGTAATTAACTAAGGTAGTCCATTGAAAAGTTACATTTGGGGTGTCGTTTTTTAGAGGACGCAATTTTATTTATGGAACATGTAGGGGGGGGTCAATACAAGCTTAACTCCAAGTTTGTGGGGTTGCCGTGCTTGTCCCCCCCGCCGCCATCTTGGATAAAGGGGTCCAAAAACTACGTTTTTGGCTATATCTCCTAAACTATCCATCGTACATAAAACTTGTAAAGACACATTTTGTAGCAAATCGCTGTGTCTACGATTATGTCTATGTAACTTTTTATCATAAATCCAAAATTCAAAAAGTTATAAATAAAAAAGTGATAGCTAGCTACCATTCTAATAACTGATTGATAATATAATTATGTCGAAGATTACCATATCAGCAAGTTGTCTGTGGAATAGGCCTACTAGGAATACCAATAAGTAAAATTGTAGGAATATAAAAAAATAAAAAAAAATATTTGGAAAATTTGTTTAAAATAAACGAGAGATCTTAAAAGTAAGGTAAAACTGCTGTCTTGATCGGCTTGTCATGAGCATTGACGCACCTAGTCAACTTTAGAAATAGGAAATGTTTTCACTTTTTTACTTATAACTTTTTGAATTTTGGATTTATGATAAAAAGTTAAATAGACATAATTGTAGGCACAGCGATTTGCTACAAAATGTGTCTTAACAAGTTTTATATACGATGGATAGTTTAGGAGATATAGCCAAAAACGTGGTTTTAGGACCCCTTTTTCCAAGATGGCGGCCGTGGGACAAGGGTGGCGACCCCACAAACTTGTTTTTAGCTTTACACTGACCCCCTCTACACATCAAAAAAATAAAATTGCGTCCTCTAAAAAACGCAAGGTAAGGCCTAAAAAATGTAACATTTCAATGGACTAAGGGTCTATATTTATTTTAATATATTGTCGGAAGAGGTCTAAAAAACCCTAATCCTGCAACTCCTATACAAGTTGGTTTTAGTAAAGACGCACTAATCGTTTTATTAGTTTATATGAGGTATATAAATTTACATGCTATTTTTATTAAACTTTGATTAATAAAGAGTTAATTTAAAAAATTACAATTGACTAGAATTTCACTATAAAAATATTTGATGATAAAACTGTATCAAATGACTGTAGTTCTCAATTAAGATTGGGCTGCAAGTTTTTTAACGGTATTTTGTAACATTGATATATTATGACAGTTGGTTGGCTATTCCAATTAAATTACGTCAATCACCTATTAAATCAAGAACTTGGTTTACCTTTACATTAAAAACCTTTTTTTTAACTAAACATTTTTAATTATATAACTTTAGGAATAGCAATCCTTCTTGATATGAGAATTTAACGGAGAAACTGTTGCATTTTTATACATCTTAATAAAATTATGTTACAGATATATGGCTGCGAAAGGAGCGGTTTATTCCACGCTTTTTCAAAGCATATAATACATTCTTTAAAAATACCATTACATGTACGTACAAATGATAAAGTAAGAGTGACTATACTATCAAGAGGGACGACTTACAGGAGTATTTTAAATGAAGAAGAGATAATAAGAGAGTTACTCAAAGTGAAAGAGTACCATGTGGAAAGAGTGGTGTACGACAGAAATGTGCCATTTACAAAGCAATTAGAGATGACGCACAATACAGATGTGTTTATAGGAATGCATGGAGCAGGATTGACGCATTTACTGTTTCTGCCTGATTGGGCATCAGTTTTTGAAGTGTAAGATAATTGTTTTTGTCTATGATATGATGTCTATTAATTAGACAATATTGCTTTGTTATTAGATAGGTATTAGATATTTCACTAACAAATCCCACAATCTTTATGTTTCTTTGTGTCTTTGTCTTCTTTTGGGCAAAAATGTTTATCAAAATGATTCAGCATGCCATTAAATTAATTAATTCTTTAACTGTCCTATTTCTTTTTATCTAGTTTTGATAGTAATATAATGACGAACGTCAAAACGATTTCGTTATAGATTTATGCATAGAGTATCGAATATATAAAAATGTGTATTCTTAATGTTTTTACTCAAACAGAATAAAGTAACAATTTTTATTATACAAATCAATTTCAGGAAGTTTATATCAAAATATCCTTTATTTCGCAATGTGTGCAATTTCTATTTCTATACTCTATAATATGAAAATTTTAGCTTTTCTGTGGCTATGTTCGCTTGCACGTTTGGCGCCATTTGTTATGCAATATTTTTAAAAGCTACTACTTATTAGATTTCGTTATAAAAAAAATTGTATCCCCGGGTTTTTTTTGACAGATTCCCGAATTTGATTTGAGTAAACGCTGTAAATCGCGTTTTAGGACGATTAGGATTAGGATTTATTTTATCGATATGTACGCGCCTTAATAAATGCGCGAATTGAGGCCACAAACAAGGTAGCAATTGTTGCTTATCACGGCTGTTCCTCAGGAAGCTGTAGACTATTTTTTTCGGTGTTTTGACAGTACCAAGTTTATACATCCTAGAATCATGACTGTAAAAAAGTACCCATTATGCAAAACATTTAATGAAACTTGCCTGTATCTACCGAGGGATCGAACACTCCAGATGTGGAGACTGCATGTTGCACCACGATGTATTTAAAAAATTGTTACGGCTATCAAACAATTTAATCACCTTTAAAGGCAAGGCCTTTATAATGTGGGAGTTTACTGATCATAAGTTTTGAAAATTATAAATATTATAAATATCTTAACTGTTTTTATTATTATGACATTTGCATGCCTATTTTAATATGGTTGATTTTTTACTAATGAATCAATCTGAATTTACCACTTTCGTTGCAAATAAATGATTTGTTTATAATTTTACGTTTCATTAATTTAATTTCAGTTATAATTGCGAGGATCCCAACTGTTATTCGGATTTGGCAAGACTTCGTGGACTCAAATATGTGACGTGGACGGATAAAAATAAATTAGTACAACAAGACGAAGTAAGTTCTAATTAAGAATCCCTTTTTTGCTGTGTGATCATGTACACATACTTAGAACTGTAGAGGTTTTGCATGACATTAGGATCAGGCTATATCTAGACAAAAGCAGTGTTGGCCTATGTGTGCATCTAATACTCTTTCGTACAGCGAAAGAGAATATCGTGATTAATATTTTATTACTATACTAGGCATTTATATAAAGCCTATTCCCAAAACATTCAATTATATAAGTGTATTAAATTATACATAAATAGCATTTTATACATAATTAACACATAAACAAAATAACACAAAATTCTGTGTTTTTGTTTATGTGTTTTCAAAATTCAGGTACACAAAGGTAAGGTTCTTTCTGGGTAAACACAAAGTGTTAAAATATTTTACCTGAATTTTGATGTGAGCTTCGTAAAACCAATGTTTGGAAAAAATAGTAATATTGATTTTAAAAAAATTCCAAATCCACCGGCCCGTTAAAAAAAATAAAAAGAAAAATTTGGACTGCGCGCCCCCCCCAAACAAAAAAAAAGGAGGAAAAAAAAGGGCGAGAGCGAAGAGGGAAAAAAACAAACCACCAAAAAAAAAAAAAAAAACCACAAACACCCCAAAAAAAAAACCCCCAAACAAAACCCAAAAAAAAAAAAAACCCCCACCCCCCCACAACAAAAAAAAACCCCCCCCCCCCCCCCCCTTTTTTTTTTTTTTTTTTTTTTTTTTTTTTTTTTTTTTTTTTTTTTTTTTTTTTTTTTTTTTTTTTTTTTTTTTTTTTTCTTTTTTTTCCCCTTTTTTTTTTTTCCCCCCCTCTCCCCCCCCCCCCCCCCCCCCCCCCCCCCCCCTCCCTCTCTCCCCCCCCCCCCCCCCCCCCCTCCCCCCCCCCCCTTTTTTTTTCTTCCCTCCCTTTTTTTTTTTCCCTTCTTTTTTTTTTTTTTTTTTTCTTTTTTTTTTTTCTTTTTTTTTCTTTTTTTCTTTCCTTTTTTTTCCCTTCTCCTCCCCCCTTCCCCCCCCCCCCTCCCCCCCCCCCCCCCCCCCCCCCCCCTCCCTTTTTCCTTTCTTCCCCCTTTTTTTCATATTTAGTTCCTGTCGTAATTTATTCTGTTATCCATATTACTTGTTCTAAATAACTGCAATTTTTTTTCAGGGACACGGGCCAGGCGGTGCCTCTCATGCGAAATTCACAAATTATTCGTTTGATGTGAAAGAATTTCTGAGATTGGTGGAAATATGCGCCTCGTACGTGCGACAACGAGACGATTTCAAGAATTTTATTCACGCATCGGTTTCTCGCGATGAATTATAGAAATTGTGTATCAGCCTCTTCGAATGTCTTACGTTTATGAAACTACGGAATAGATGGATGAAATGATTATTGATTTTGCAAACGCTTGAAATGAAATAGCATTTATAATTATCAAAGCTGTCTTTGACCTATTTTATTGTGACGACATAATACAAAGAGCTAAGTGATCTTAAAAATATATATAAATTTCCATGTATTAATTACGTTTTTGATTTTGGAACGAAAATGTAAAATTGAACTTTGTGTCAAAGAAAATTGAACTTTATATCTTGCATACAAATGATTCCCTTAAAATCGTCACGAATTTTTGATAATTCTCTAAAATACTGAGTACTTTAATCAATTTACATAAAATTCGTAATGTATCCTTTAAACAATTGCAGTCATAGAAAAATATTGTAGCATAATAACCTTAATATGTTTAATTTAATTCTTGCTTCCTAACTCATGATAACACTGCGGTACTTCATATTTGAAAAATGCCATTTTACTAGTGCCAATACAAATAAATAATGTATATACTTATACATTCCGTTCAGCTTATGTGGACTTTCTAAATATTCTACATTACTGAATCTCTTCATTTTACGATCTGGGTGTTTGGATAAGAACCCATGGTGCGTGGAATTCGTTTATTCCTGCTGGAGTTCTTGCTCATTGTCCGTAACCGCCAATCTGATGCTGCGCCTAAAGCACACTCGTTCTGAAAAAAAAACAACAACAGGCACTCAGTACACAGTACACCCGCAGTGGACACAATTCTTGTGACCACTGACTGATTTTGAGTTGGGATGATTCTTCGAGACCGGAGTACTCACCGCCAGCCGACACCTCTCCAATCCAATGCACGATTACTGCCTCAATGCAACGCGTGCGCGTGCCTATACGCACTCGTAATATTCCCCCGTTGTCGGATCTCTCGCATGTCAGGATCACCTGACCTTAGACCTAAAGCCTCATCCTCTTGAGCAAGGACCATGCTTACTTATGGATGATACGTTTTTTATTCCCGTTCCGTTCATGGAGACTCCACCGTAGCGTTAAGCTATTCCGACAAAGCGAGTGATTTTGATTGAAAATTTCTATTATGAATTGCAAATTTGATTGAAAATTATATTATTTTCTCGAATGAACTTTCGAATTTGTCAACACGCGCCTACTACGAGGTTACTATTAGAATGAGGCCTATACTGCCGTCCGTAACAATAGTATGGTTAAGATCCGTCAGTAACATTTTTCACTTAAGATAATATTAATTCTCCTAATTTTGTGATACTATGTTAATATAAATCAGTATATGTATTAGGCTTAGTTAATAAGTTAAGTTAAAGCGTTATTTCTAAAATATGTGATTACGAATTTAATAAAATGCTTCTGAATGTCATAAACTTTTTGTTACGATATTCCTTATCTCATCGAATATTTCTTATTATAACAGGTTCCTGACATATAAAAGTTTCGGTCTTTTAGATTTATACTCAAAGTTTCACGAAAATCTAAACAATCAGTAATTAAATTTAAAAAATATATATTATTTCCAATTTAACAGCATTATACTAGTATCGAAACTATTCACCCCAGTTTTGTTGTACTCATTAGTAACGTAAGGTATTTTGAAATACATTTTTAAAATATTTTTTGTTAACAATAAAATGCTTCTGAAATTTCTACATTATAGTATAAAATGTTACCCTCCCAAAAGAAACATTTTTCTGGTCTTCGAATTCGACAACTTTGAGTTGATGGGATTTAATAATCATGTGTATCTAACATTTATATTTTAGTATATTATTATACATACGTATCTTAGCCTACTATATTTACACGTCCTTGCATACAATTATACATAAGATAACTAGAAATCATTGAACAATTTAGAGAAAATTAAATATTATTTGCATGGTGCAAAAAGCCTATTTGGCTAATAAGCGATCTTTTGGTGTAGACCTGTGGGAAAAAAATCTGTTCATAATGTCTGAGGAAGAGCAAAACAAAAGTTTAAAATGAAACTAGAAGTGTTTTTCTAATTACACATTAGCCACGAGGTAATGCCAATAGTATTACAAAAAGAAATTATTTTTTATATTGCAATTAACCGTTTATTCATTAATAGCCCTAATCAGCATATAATTTCATAACACTCATCGCGAAAAGAACGAAAGTATGAAATCGAAAGCAGTATATATGTTTAAAAAAAAATGAAATATGTATTTTACCGCAATAATTGTTGGACTGATGGTAGTTATTAAAATTTATTCAAGTTTATAGTACTCTGAGTATGAACGGGGCATGATACACACATTTCTGCATGTGTTTTTATGTATTTTCGTGGTAATTATGTTATTAGTTTTCATCGCCCTCAAACCAGATACAAATAGGTATAGTTCTGTCAGGAATGCAACCCAGGCTCTCGTTATACTATGTACCAAGACACATCTTCACTTTTTAAACATATTTATTGCATATACAACCTATTTTACGGACATAATGTTAGTGAATACGGAATATTGTTAAATACAAACTTTCTCAAGCATTTAGGTATTATATAAAAGTATTAATCACGAATTTGTAAAGGATATTTCAGGCATCCCAAATATTTCGAATAAACAAATTACCTTTAGTGACTTTCTTGGCGTACAATAAAGAAATCGTAAAACAAAAGTAATATTTACAGACTGAAATTAATGAGCGCTGCCCGATCGGCCTGAGGCGGGCTTTTTGGACTTATTCAGATCGTATCGTTAATAAGAATCAAACAACTAATTGAAATAAATCCACCTTAAGTCGAGATCGAATCGCGTATTTATACATCTATATTTATTGAAAATTGACTTTGGAATGTACATTGTTTTAGTTATGTAAATCTTCTGTATATATTGCGTGAGTTTGTTGCAATTATCGAGTTATGTACACTCGACTTTTAAAATGATTTACATTGCCAGTGGTAAAAATTGAAATAAATTTGCATTTATTAAATAAGTTTTAATGTAATGCAATATCCTTAAATACACCAAAGTAATCAATAATTTGTATATATCCAGACCACACATCAGTGTAAAGGCCGTATGCCTGGTTGGACAGGCATGGAGCGTGCGTTTCTTAATACTTCCGTCCTACTGCGTACCAATATTTGGATATAGCCCCACAGGATTTTGTTATTTTTATTTATTTTTAAGTTTTTTTTAGCAAATCACTATTCTTGTTGAACACTATATGTACAATATGGATAAAATCACCCAGTACAATGTTTTCTAGTATGTTTTTTGATGAGTGGTATCGAGCATGGTGGTCAGTAATGCGAGGATTGCGCAGATTCATGTCGTTGATAGCGATCGTAGGCGCCGGCTATTATTACTATTCTCTATATTTATCAGCACTCATTTACTTTGAATCGAGCCCTCAGTGAGCTTAGCATTTTTATAGGTTTTATCTTGGATTTTATTAAGTTCTTAGTAGTATACGAGTACCGTGCTCCAAGACATGAAGTGTTGACGATTTTATCCAATTAAGTATTGATTTTTTTTACAATATTAAACACATCTTGTTATACAAACTAAATACGTTACGTTTAATACGTCAACTTAAAAAACAAGACAAACAAACAAACTTAGTAAACAAAGATATTACATAGAACATAGATTATTATTCCCTCTAACTATTTAAGAGATAAGTCCAATAACCTGACGGGTTGTGGAAACATTTCATTTTGCATTCATATTTTTTCGTAATCGCCCGAGAATCACACCCAAGGCCTCCTGATTGATACACACACATGACCAAAAAGTCAAATAAATGCTAGCTGAGTGAATGTTGAACCCTGAGAAAAACTTATTTTGCGGCAGAAAAAAAAATTGCAATATAAAATAGTTTGGAGATGTTATTTTTTCTGTTTCATACGAATTGGACGCCAAATTGGAGGATAAGCAAATTATGCCTGCTGAAAAAAGTATTATCTAGCCATCAGATCAGATCATACTTTCTGGTCATTTTTAGTTTTCAGCTCTCCCACTTGACAGATCAGAAATATATAAAGCAAAACAGTTTCATCACTGTAAACAATGAACGGAATATTCCTTTAACTATAGAAAATGTACTATATATATCCTATGATTATTTTGTGAAGTAACAAAAGTGTGAAAATATCTAGTAGGTCAAGAGGATTAAACACCTGTGAAGCTTTTTAACCTGACAGAGTGATTAAGGTGACAAATCGCTCGATACAGAAGGTAAAGACAAACATTCTTAGCTCTTACAAAAGCAACAATAGTCATCATCAATTACAGGCAATGGATCGGGCATTCGTCCGTTACTCCACTGGGGCATTCCCACGGCTAGTCGTGTTGCCGGAATATGTCCAAGTAATGTCGATAGAAAATTGTTTCTGATTGCATTCGCTCTCTATTTGTACCATTTATCTTCGCTGTTTATAAGAATTTTATAGACAAAGTACAAAGTCATTGTTTGGGATAAGTGACGGGTTTGATTTCGAGTCCCATATAACCTAGTTTAAATGTTAAATTGTTTTAACCTCAATACAGTATGCAAAGTATAGATACATACTTAGATTTTACTTAGACGCCGTATATTTCAAAATGACGAAATTATGAAAAAAACCTGAACTTTTATGACCTCTTTATTTCTAACAAACATGATAATTAAAGCAAAAATGAAATAACTTTAACTTATATTTATTTAACCTAAATAATAGTACGATGACTTACATATATTATATTACATTACTTAATTGCCACTGATTAAGGTAATCCATGTGGTGACAAAAATGGTCAACCCATGCTTACCAAACTTATCATACAAAGCGGATACTTCTCAATCGAATATTTTATTGCAAGATAGTAATTATGCATAACGATATGAACCGTTGTTTTTACGATGCTATCGACAAACCGAAGAGAAATTACTCCGATGAAAAGATAATCTCTGGCAAACCGAATTATTGATCATTGATAGGAGGCGTGCAAACATGTCTTCTCGATTCGAGT